GGGCAGGAAGCTTTGTCGCAGCCCCTGTAGAGCATGGGGGTTCGTGGAGCTGGTGAGTGCTGTCCGTGGGGGGACTCAGGAGATGGCCTCATTAAAGGTTGTCTTCTGCCTGGAAGCTTCTCGTCTGGCTGTCTTTGCCTCATGCCTTCCATTCCTTCTGTCTGCAGAAGACAGACAGGATGGCTGGTGATGGGAAAACATCTGGCTTTGGGGCCAGACCTGACTTTAAATCGCCACCCCCACAGTGGACCGACTCGCTTCGTGGTCCTCGTGGGTGGGCTGGGGAGAAGCAGGGGCTGTGCCTCTGAACCGCCCCCTCTTGCACACGCTGCCCGTCTCCTCAGCTGTCCAAACCGGAGAAGGTCTCCATCCCTGAGCGGTACGTGGAGCTGGATCCCGAAGAGCCGCCCAGCCTGGAGGAGCTGCAGGCACGCTACCGCAAAGCCGAGAAGATCCGCAGCATCCTCACCCGGTCCAGGTCAGCACCCAGCCCTGGCCCCTTGCCTGCCCCGCAGCGACCCAGCAGGGACACCAAGAGGAGGCTTCATGGTGGTGAAGTACACAGGGTTGGAGATCAGCTCTGAGCGTGACGCTACCACATCAGCCACTTGTCCCCTCTGCGGGAGCCTCCTCATCCCCTCAGGGTGAAAGCCTTTGCTGGCAAGGGGCCCCTCCCCTCTCCCCCCACCGAGCTAAGCCTCCCACTTCTTGCCTGCATTTCACAGGCCTTTCCTTTCGGGTGCTTCGTGTCCTGTGACACCCCTCCCCCTCAAAGGAGGGGTGTTTAGGGGGAAGCATGTGCACCTCTGATGAGGGAGAAAGTCTCATTTTCATCTGATGCCCCAGCCTAAGGTTGAGACCCTGCAAGCCAGGGAGACCCCGCCGGGCCTTGGGCCTGCCCTCCTGAGGCTGGTGCCCAGGCCTGGCAAGCGCCCATAGTCCCTTTCCTGGACCCCCTGGCAGCATGTGCAACCTGCAGCCGGCAGCAAGCCAGGACCGGGACAGCGTGGCCGACCTGGACTCGCAGCTGCAGGAGCAGGAGCGCATCATCACCATCTCCTACGCCCTGGCCTCCGAGGCTTCCCAGCGCAGCAAGCAGGTGGCAGGTAAGACCGTGGAGGCCACCCCAGGCCTGAGGTCAGGGACTGCACCCTGGGGCTTGGGGGCAGCATAGTCTAGCCCTGAGCCCTGTGGAAGCCAGGTGCTGGGCTTGGTAGTGAGGGCCACTCTCCAGAGGTGGTCATGAAAGTCAGTCACCGGTGCTTGAATTTCTTGCTGGGACAAGATAGAATGGGGCCCCTCTAGCCTTCCTTGGGACCCCTGCTGAAAACCAAAGCCCCTGTCCACCTAAGCAGTCTGTCGTGTCAGGAAGAGGACTTGGGAAGGTGGGACTTTGCTCTCCAGTGGGGGAGCGTAGCACCATGGGGGTGGGGGTGGGGTGGCACTTGTGCGCTTGTGTACTTGTGCTTGAGTGTGTGTGCTCACACATTTGTGTGCGTGTGTTCCCATGAATGTGTGTATATGTTCCTGTGTATACGTATGGATGTGTGCAAACCAGTGTGTGTCGGTTTATGGATGCATGGGTAAACCTGTGCTTGTGTGTGTGCATACACACATTAGTTTGTGCACTTAACCTTGAATTTGTGTGCATGTTGGTATGTGTATATTTGTGTATGCATGTGTATATTTGTGTATGCATGTGTATATGGCTACATGTTTTTGTGTGTTTCTGAGTGTGTGCCTGTGTACACACAAGTGTATCTGTGTATGAGTGTTTGAGTCTACATGTATATGTATGCACGTGCATGTGCACATGTGTACACACGTGTGTGTATATCCACACGTCTGTGCGTCTGAGTGCACGTGCACACATTGGTAAATGCCTGTGTGACCAGACAGGAAATGAACCCCTGGCTTCGTCTGCACACCCATCATACCCTGTGTGCCCACAGAGTCCCCTCGGGCTAGCTCTCTGGGTATAAGGACCCTGATGCCTCTGAGCAGGGGTGCACTGGCCCTCCTGGGGAAGGGGCATGCATGGAGCCTGAAGTGATAGCATACATCCCACCGGGTCCCGCAACCCTGCCCAAAGGGTGTAGAAATGTCTAAGGGGTGCTGCAAGCCCTGGTGTCCAGCCCTGGGGAGTCTGGTATGGGGGCGCAGGCATAGCCTCAGGCAGCCATGGAAGTGGCTGAGGACAGGGAGGGGCAGGGCCTCCACCAAAGCCAGTCTCAGGACACAGCGGGCAGAGAGGCATTCTGCAGAGGTGGAGCTGGGCGGTGGCTGGTCCAGCCCCTCCTCCTGATGGTTGTGAGGCTCCCTGGCCCCTCAACGGCCCAGCCCGAGAGCTCTGCAGGCCCAGAGTTCCAGCAGGGCTGCTCCCTGCACACAGAGTGCCCTCCTCTCAGCTCTGCTTGCTCGGACTCCGCGGGTCTCTCACCCTCAGCTTCCTACCCCAGCCCTGAGCACACCCCACGAGGGAACAGCCCACAGCCTCACCTCACTCTCACTCCCTCTGTCCATCTCGGAGTCCTGGGGAGCAGGGGGCCTTGTCACACAGGCCTGCCACTGGGGGGGCCTGGTGCTCCAAGGAGGGATGCAGAGGCTAACGCTCCACTTAACTCCTGTGTGCCCATCTAGCGCAGCAGCTGGCCCTCCTCCCGCCTAAAGCCCCTCTGTCCTCCAGGGCGGTACCACCTTACCCCCCCTTAAGCAACGGACTCCACTACACCTTTGTCTAACACTTCCAAGTAAGAGCTTCTGCCTGCATGCCCTCCCCCCACCCCATGCTGCTCACTGCCCTGCGTTAGTGCTGAGCATGCCTCGCCCCTGCTGAGAGGAGTACAGTGCTGATCCTCCTGCCCCTGGCAAAGTGGCCGCTGGGGAGACTGGGAGGGCAGGGAGGCAGGCAGGGGAAAGCCGGAACTTTAGAGACATTCCCTCCTCAGTGGCTCCTGTACAATCCTGTGTGAGACCCCAGCCTCTGGCCTCCCTGAAGACCCCAGGACCAGGGCTGCACCTCTGCCCCATCCTCTCTCTTCCCCTAGGGACAGGGACAAGATGCCAGCCCTGGGGGTGTGGCCTCTCAGGGCTTTATCAAAGAACTCCAGGAAGCAGAAGCCTGGCAAAGGCATCCAGTCTTCCAGACAGGGACACTGAAACCTGCTATGGGCGGAGCTTGCCCTTGGTCCCTCCTGGAACTGGTGTCCGAGTAAGCACCGGGCCTGCCCTTTTAGTGGCCTGTGCACCTTAGAAGAGGGAGAAGAGGGAAGCTTCAGGGAATGTCTGCCCTTAGCCCGTCAGAATGTTCTAGCACACCACCCCTGACAAGTCCCCAGCTGGCCGTGAGCATTTAGCCATGATCCGGTGGGGGTGGCTAGGAGGGCGTACTGGACAGGGAGTTACGAGACCTGGGTCTGGCACCATTGTAAGGCCTGTCCTGGGCCTGGATCCTGGACTTCTGTCCAGGTGGGAAAGGGGCTGGAGTGGAGATTCCACAGCCTCCCATCTCCTATCAGTTTGTGGGGTGCCCTCCTCTCCTCCCTTTGTCCGTGCTGAGGACTAGCATCTGTCCGACTGTCTTAATGGGGTGGAGGTGGGGGTATGGAATGCGGGGAGCAACGCCATTGGATACTGGTATCCAAATATCAGGTGGACAGGTTTCCATGGAGCTTTCAGACTGAGAGAGACTGGGAAGAAAGGCCCGGCATTCTCCTGAGAACTGGCTGATGGATCACAACCGATTGTTGTCCTACAGAGTGCTGAGGGCACTCAGAATACACAGTCACACCAGGTGGGCTCAAACGGTGACGGCGGCCCCAGGACAGGCCACCTTTCCTTCCTTCCGTGACACAAAGGCTCCCTTTGATTGGGAGCTCCCTTGTTGGGGACAAACCACATCACTGAGGGCCTGCTGCGTGTGCGGAGTGTCTCCCTCGATACACATGGCAGCCCTGGGAAGCCAGCACCTGAGGGAGCTGAGCAAGCTCAGCGACTGCCCCGGCAGTTGGAGTTTCTCAGTGCCTGGGGCGGGACTTGAACCCTTTGCCTTGAATCTCCACTCGTGAGAGCCGTCCGGGTGTGGAGCCAAGAGTCGCGGGCGTTTGGAGAAGAGTGTGGAATGAGGGCTTGAGAGTGTGGGAGGCATGAGCCTCAGCAGCCGGGAGCAGAGTCCACAGGCCCAGCCAGTGAGGTTGGGAGGGAGGATGTCGGCCTGCTTGGGGCGTCCTGGCAGGAGGTGTGGGCCGAAGAACTACAGGAGAAATGCTCCCCAGGGACCTGGTGAAGGCTGTCAGGAACCTGCTGGGACCACAGCTCGGGTTTTCTCCTGGAGACCTGAGCCTGGTGGCACCCCACATCCCTCCCCAGTCCCAACCCATTCCTCCTGCCTTTTGCTGCTGTTTCTCAGGACACGTCCACGTTTGCTCTTAGACTTCCAACATATTCAGTTGGTGGCGGACAGAATCCCCTGTAGATTAAAGAGCCAGGCCTTGAAGGCCGAGAGGCTATTCTGTGCGTGCGAAGGGCAGGGCCGGAACGGGGCCCAGAGCCCTCTCTGCTCAGGCCCGTGGCCCCAGCAGGGTAGGGAGCACTCCCTAGCCTGGAAGTGGGGCCTTGGGTGGAGGGAGTGTGGGTTAAGCAGCCATGAATCCTAGAAGCCAGGCTCCCCCAAAGCGGCCACATTGCCCGAGTCCCTGCTCCGCTGCTCTGTCTGTCAGCCCGTCTGCTGTTCCCTGTCGTGTGTGCACAGACACGCCCACTGCCGGCTCCCTGGATGTGGGTAGGGGGCCTGCCAGCCTCTCATTGTCTTCTGTGCTTCTTGCCAGCTCAGGCAGTGACGGACCCGTGACGCACCGTGCGGAGGAGAAGCCGGGAGCTGGGCCATAGAGCCAGCTTCCTCCAAGAAGACCGAATGCGTGTTCACCTGCAGGGCCCTGACGGGAGGAACCCGAGACTGGGGGGCGTTTACCAGAGGGCTAGGTCCTACCACACCCTCCCCACACTTGTGTTACTTCAGACTCTTTTTTACAGATGACAAAGGCACTTTTGATAGACACTTAACTACTGACACTATTTTAGAATCAGAGTGTATTTGATAACTTTCGGCTGAAAGGGCTGATGGCCGGTGTCCGAGGCCGTAGCTGCACAGACAGAATCAGGTATCACCTGGGTGGGAGGTGGGGACGGGGTCGGAGCAGAGGCCAGTCCAACATAGGATGAACTCAGGTAAAAGTTGGTTTTGAGAATGTGCTTCCAGTGGATTCCAGCAGCAGGCTCTCGGGCGTGCGGTCCAGAGAAAGAGGCCTCTTGGGCTGAGCCGACTGGGGGACCAGCTCTGCTGATGGACAGCATGGGGTGGCCCCAGGGCCTGGGCTGCGGGCAATGATGCCCTCAAAAGCCTTGGGCTCCCTGTGGCCCACGCGGTTCCCCTGGCACCGGGCTTTCTGATGAAGGAAAAGATTCCACTTTGATTTGGAAAACAAAGAAAACCAAATTTCAAAATACAGGAAAGGTAACAGGAAGCAAATTTTATTGTATCACAAGCAATAAACTTCACAGCAGACGGCATCTCATGGATGGCTGAATGCCTTCCCTCCACATCAGGCTGCCGTGAACATCCTGGGCCCTTGGCTGCCTGCCCTGGAGACAGTGGGCGGCTGGGCGGCCAAGACCTGGTCCTGGTGGCAAGAGGGCTGGCCGTGTGACTGCGACCATCCTGATGGCACACGGAGGACGGTGACCTCCAGCCCAGGACACAGAGGGTTGCTAAGCCAGTTACAGTGTTCCTGCCCCTCGAATTAAGTGGTGGTCTCCGATAGTCCACGTTCAGAGAATGTTTTAGAGGGCGCGCGCACACACACCACCCTTGGGTGGAGCCACACATCAATTAAAAACTTTGACTATGCTCAGAAAAAAAGAAAAGACATCTTGAATATATTTAGAAGTTGCTGTCTATTTTTAACTAACTCCATATGCTGCCAGTATCAACTTCATGACATTTGCCAAAATAAAATTTTATTTTTGCCTTTATAAGATTTTGTTGGAAAAATAAAATGAATATTTTACAAGAAATTAATTTAAATAAAAGCATAAAGGTTTGGAAAAAACAAAACAAAAAAGGTGATGTACGGATGACAATGTTCAGTGGGTGGGCTTTTGCTGCCACTGCTTGTTGGGTCTGCGCTCGGGGTCTCTGGCGAGTGGCCTGGTCCGGGTTTTTTCTCCCCTCTACTCCTGTGGAAAATTCCCAGCATCTGCCCTCCGGCACCCATGAGAGCTGCGCCTGGTCCCAGCTCTTGACACTGGGTTGGCTTTAGGGGTATGTTTGGGGAAGAGGGAATGTGCGCTGTACCCTTTAGGCTGGGCATCTGCAGCTGACCAGGGTGGCCCCCAGCCAGGCCTCGTGGGGAGCCCCAGGGCTGTGGGCTGTCTGCTGTGGGCCTGGCTTGGCAGACAGCCTGTCATCCCAGCCAGCACTGGGGGGCGCCATGGCCCTCTTCCTAGCTGCAGGCCTCCTGCTCACTCCAGTGAGGCCGATGAGTGACAGACCACGGCAAACTGGATTTGTGTTTAATTCATTTTGACTTGTGCTTTTATGCTTAGAACAGGAGGCAGGAGGCCAGTTCCGTTCAGGGGTGAGTATATTTCCAAGTCTGTTGTTAGGGCGCTATTCCTTCATTGCCAAGATGAGCACTGAGGTTTAGAATGCCTTGCCAACTATTTAAAGGCCGGGACGTAGTTCCCAAGGCATTCAAAGTGGGACCTGGCTGCTCTTTTAGCAACTGTTGTCATTTTGGATTTTCAAATACAGTGTACTCTGGTTCTGAGCATCGTTTGGAGACGAGTCTCCATAACTGTTGAAGTAAGAGGGGAAAAGGATTCTATAACGGCACACACACATGCACATGCACACGAAGCAGAACCCCACACGCAGGGTGGCTATCAGCAGACTGTGTTTTTTTTGGTCTCTCAGAACGTCAGTCAGTGATTTTCTTACTGTTGGTCTCAGGTTTGGGTTTTCGTGTTAATTATCCTTGTGCAGGTAGTATGTGGCAAACCTGTCTGAACTAACTGCTGCTTCCAAGAGCGCTCGATCACGTAGGTAGCAGGAGACTGTTCTGTAAGAATCACGGCCCCACCGTTGACGACCAAGAGCTCCACGGGGAGCTCCCGGGTGTGGGAAAGGCACGTTCCAGCCACAGCACACGTGCGCAGCCCCTGGGAAAACAAACCTGTGTGTTCTTAGGTAAGACTGGCCCATCTGGCCTACTGGCTGGCCAGGGACCCTCCTGGATAGGGAACTGAGGCTCAGCCATTCCAGCTTTACTTCCTTACAGGAGGCTGCAGGGCCTGAGCAGAGCTTTAAGCAGCAGGGTTGCCATTGACCAAGGGGACCTGCACCTGCTTCTGTATCCATTGGCTGATGTGACCCGCGCCTGTACTCAGCCACACGGTACCCAGGATGCTCACCTGATTGTAACGAGAGCCAACAGCTTTGTGAGATCTGGTGTCAAATGGGAGTTGTAGCTGAAACAGTCTCCTGACCAACACTTGGCCCTCCTAAAGGGCTGAGGGCCTTGGCATGCGGAGGGCAGTGGTGGGGTGAAGGAGACGTGCCCGTCGTTTCCGTCTGCCGTGCTTTTGTCCTGCTTGCCTCGATACCCGGCTGTCTAACCGTCTGTCTGTCTGTCCCCGCCTTTGAACTCATCTGGAACTTTCACTGCCTTCAGGCTCCAGAAGGGTCTTGCCAATTGCAGGTGGCGCCCGAGTCTCAGAAAGCCTCAGCCTGCCCCCAGGCGACTCTCTCTCGTTGCCTACTTGGCCTTGGGGGTGGCAGATGGACCCCCGATTCAGCTAGACCAGAGTCTGTTGTAGGCGCTGGAAGCCTCTCAGCTGCAGCAGAGGGCGACTCTGGGGCAACATCTTTTGTGTTCTCACCAAGAGTGGGAAAAGGGAAGCAAATTATTGGTCTAACCCACAAATCACATTTCTGAGACGCTGGGAGCCCTCCGCTTCTGGTTCAGCAGGAGATGCTGCTGGGTGGGACTGTGCCCGTGTGAGTTGTGCCCCATTATGAAAAGAACAAAGATGGGGGGCTGGGAAAGATATGAGAAATGTCCGCCCCGCCCGGCAAACATGTTGCTGCTCTGCCGCCTCTGCTCCAAAGGCGGCCACGTGCGTTCATTGCTTTCCTGGCAAAGAAACCTTTCTTCAGAGCGAGTGGTGGGTACAAAGGCAGAGTACAAAACGCATGCACATCACAGTCCCTGCCATTCTGTTTGAACAAGGGTATTGATTGGGTCTGACCCTGTTGCATTTTTCCCTATTATTTGAAAAGGTGCATCTAAGTGTCGTGAATTGAGCTGGCGGAGCTGAACTTTCCATGAAAACTTAGCGAGGTCTTTCTTCAGTTCAAAGCGTTTGGATTTTAAAGGGCATTTTTAATATGAGTCTGGCGAGTGTTCTCCGCCACAGCCCAACAGGGATGTTCGCCCGGGATGGGGGTGGACAGGACAGGCCCTGTGGGGGAGGTGCAGGTGGATTTCACCAGGCGAAGTCTGGAGTTTGGGGAGGGAGGCTGAGCCCAGGCTTTGGAGCAGTGACGCAGGCCCCAAGGGGCAATGTGCTGAGCACGCTGGGCAGAGAGTGCAGGTCGGGCGAGGCAGCGGCTGGGCAGCTGACCTGCTGTGCGAGCTTGGTGCTCATGGGGGCTTTGGGTGTGGGCCGAGCACTGGCCTGCTGAACTGCTCACTGGCTCTCGCACTTTCTTAAGACTGAGAGGGCAGGAGAGAGGCACCGTTGCTCGGCTGAGGTCAGAAGGGAAGCTGCTGTCACTGTCCTCTGCCACCACCCTCTAGTGCCTGGGTTGACATCACTCGTTCTCCCTGGGCCTCCTTGACCGAGCCGAGGCCTTTCTCTTGTTTGGTAGGCCGTGGTCCCAACAGTGGGTCCTCTTGCCATCATGGCCCAGGGCCCTGGAAGCACCCCCCAAAGCCTCCCTTTCCCCACACAGGAGGTCTCCCAATTCCTGCAGCCTCCCGGGCTTCTGTGCTATTGTTGCCCCAAGACTCTGTCTTTGGGACCCTCTTAGATCTAGGAAGCGCCTTCTTCTTAGACCCAGAATCTGGATTCAAAGGCAGAACTAACCCTGGGAGAAGCTGGAAGCCCGGGTGCCCTGTCAAAAGAACACAGGACGTGGGCATCTCGGCAAAGTCCCTTGCCCCAGTGTCCAGCCTTGAGGTGGTGGAGCATTACCATGGGTTCAGAATCACAGTAGCAAAACAGTAGTTCTCTGGGGCCATCTCTGCCCACAATTGTGGACACCCCAGCCTCCAGATTCCTCCCTCCCTGTTCCAGGAGCCCCAGGGGTGCTCCCTGAAGCCTCTCACACAGTAAACATGGTCTCGTTCACTGTACGGTCCCGGGCTCAGATGCTGCTCTATGTAGTGTGCTACGAAGGAGTTCACTGAACGGGTGGATGCAGTCAGTCTGTTGGCTCCGGACCCATCTGCTCCAGCTGGTTTTGCCCATCCCTGCTGTGGTCCGTGATGTGCTTCTGCTCCCCCCAGAGAGCATCCCTGTTCTCTAAGGTCTTGAGCAGTGGGGAGGAGCAGGCATTGCGGGACTCACATCCGCCCTATGGAATTGTGTAACCTTGAGGGTGGCACTTAACCTCCCTAAAGTTTAGGTCCCTCAAGGGACAAATGGGGATGACACTTGTACCTTCCGTAACACAGGCTGCTGTGTGGATTAAAGAAACCCCAGGAATGCAGTCCCTGGCATCAGAGCATGAGGCCGATTCTGCCCTCCTGTTTCACCCTCCGGTGGCTGCTTCGCGTTCCCCCCTGGCGCAGCAGGTGTGGAGCCATCTGCTGTGCCTTTTCTGTGCTGCTGCTCCACCCGCCATCCTCTGCCAGCCAGCCGGGTGGGTAGTGCATTGGCCCTGGGCTTTTGAAGTTGGGGTTTGCCAGGCCCCCGAGGCTGGTTTCCCGAGCCCAGGGCTGAGGACAGGCAGATCCGCTGTGGCCCCCTCCTGCAGCCCTGCGGCTGTCCACCCTGACATCAGATCAACCCGGGAGCAGCCCTTTGATGTCAGCCTCAAATTGGAGGCTTGTGCCCTGCTCTGAGGTCTCGGGCTTTGAAGTGGGCCTATAGACTGAGCGTCCGGGAATAAAGTTGTCTGTTGTGCTCAGAGCTCGGCCAGGCCCTGTAAAGGCACAAGGAGTGCCGCAAACACCTGATAAATAATTCTTTCTGGGCCTAGGGAAGATTCCTTCTATTTAAAGGGGAGGAAAATTCCCTTGACCTTTTCATTGAAGTCCTGGGGTGGGGGTGGGTTAGAGAAGTGCGTCTTGTCTCCTCACTGAAGCCACATGGGGCAGCCGGGTTGTCTCTGAGCCAGGCCTCAGTGACTGCGCCAACAGAGCCCCCCCACCCCCCCCACCCCCCACTCTCGGCCCTGCTGCTTCTTGACCAGCCCCACCGCTCCTCATGTTCCCTGCCTCCTGCCGTGTGGCCATGCAGAAGGGCCACACCCCGCCCTGGCAGGGCTCTGCTGCCCTCTCTGCAGCATCTTCACCACCAGAGGCGAGGCAGGCAGGACTGACCTGGATTCCCCTGGCCCTGACAGAGCTCCGGAAGTGGATGCTGGCTGACCTGCACGGAGCACTTGCCACCCACCAGACCCCCTGGTAAGGCTCGTGTGTGTGGCAGGATAATTTGGTGTGAACTTACATGCAGTTTTGTGCAAACTTTCTTCATGGGGAAATATACTTAGAGAAGGCAGCTCAGCGAATGACCAGCAAACACACCCATGTAACTCAGTCCAGTCAAGAAATAGAAATATGGGGGACCTGCTCATGTCCCACCCACTCAGGAGCCCATTCCTCTCCCTCAAAGGATAGCCATCCTCCTGACTTTGGTGGTAGCCACTTACCTGCTTTTCTTAATACTTCTACTATGCAAATATGTTAATAAATGCAGTAGCTTCATTCTATTTGTTTTCTGAAATGTGTACAATAATAGCTTTC